CTCCTATGGGGCCGAAGAGTTTGCGCCCATGTGGGGGTGACGGAGGGCCATTTAAACATTTGAGCAAGAGATTGGTGTGATCAGAGGGTGGAGGCAGGGGAGCTAAGACTGCAAGAGGGGGACAGTTTTGAGGCTTTTGCGATTGTCCAGGCAAGAGAGGGAAGGAGTGGTTTTTCTAATACAAAGCCAGAAGGCAAGGGACTCTTGATATTCTCTAGCTGGGGAGAGTGGAGAGACTATTTGGAGGACAAATAAAAGATACCTGGCGTATATGCAGAGCAGAGTTCTGCTCACGAAGGTGACATCTGAAACCATGGAAATGATGGAATGATGGGTGGGAGATGAGAGATGAGATGTCAGGGGTCTCAGGAGAGGGTGCTTGGTCCTGAGGGAGAAGGGGCAGCTTGAATGGAGTCTAAGTCCAAGGAGGCAAGGTGAGGTAACTGTCACAGGGGCTTCTGTGGGACATTCTAGAGTGAGTCCAGCTGAAGTCAGGAAGCAGGAGTTAGGGGCCAGCAATGATCAGTATTTCCCGAGGAAGTCTTCCTGGAACTGACTTTGGGCAAGTGGTGCAGGCTAACCAGGTCAGGGGGAGGGGGGTAAAGGACTCTGTCTCTGTATGGAGACCAACAAAGCTAGGGTTGGTGTGGGACAGTCACAGTTGCCTGAGCTAAACGAGTGAGTGATAGTTATGGAGATCCCAGGACACATCGATTGGGTAGAGTCAGGGGATCTGAATCTTCCAGCCTACTTAGGTTTCCACGTCATTCATTAGAAGAGTTGGTTGACTTCTAGAGCTCTAAGTGGTTGTGTAAAGGGGCAGAGAGCATGGGAAGAGAAGATAACAAGCTAGGCTGGTGGGCTGGTGCAGTTTAAGGAGGATAGTACTATATATAGTTTGCAGACCTCCAGTGGTCCATGGGCTGCAGGTTTGTCCCCCAGGTGATGCTCTTGGGAAGTGTTGGGCCTAGTAGGAGGCCTTGGTCACTGGGAGTATGTCCTCCAAGGGGACAGTTGGACTCTGGTTCCTTCTTTTTTACTCCTTGGTCATGAATTGGGCAGATTTACTCTGCCACATGCTTTTGCCTCAGACCCCAAATAATGGACTGACTGACCATGGACTGAAACTTTCAAACCTGTGAAACAAAATAAACCTTTTCTCTTTGTAAGTTGATTTTCTCAGCTGTTTGTTATGGTGATGGAAAACTGACTGACACATGTAGGCTTTGGGTAGTGGAGAAGGAGGTGTGTGTGTGTAGGTATGAAAGGGTGGGCACTTGAAGACAAACTGCTGGCTTCACAATTTGGCCTCCTAAGAGTCATTTGGGTGCTGATGCTGAAGCAGAGAACCCATGGCCCAGAGACCTGAAGTCATATTCAAGACATGGATGGAAGGAAGCAGGTGACATGCGGAGGGTTGGGGTGGGTGGGGTGGAGTGGGTGGAAGTAGATTCCTGACATCAAGCTTTTCATAGACTGCCTTGAGCATCATGGACAACTTGCACTGCTAGCCTCAGTCATGGCAGGACAGCAGAGAGGAGTGAACTGAGCAATGCAGAGCGGAAGTACCAACCTTTGGGCCCTGCCTCCATGATCCCTGCCCCATTCTCTCCATACCCTCTGTCCACACCATCCAAGCTTCCCAGAGAATGGGTTATCCTGTGGAGTGTTGAGCCCAGTCATTTTATGTCCTTATATCAGAATATCAAATTCCTGAGAACCAAACATTTTATTTTTTCTTTATTCCCTATCCCCTTATAACCCAACAGCCAAAATGTTACAAACCACTGGTAAATCTCAGGTTAGATATCCTTTGAGCTTTGCAATGCTCAATCAAGAAAAATATGATATTTTGATTCCTGTAATCAAGAAAAATATGGTATCTTGGATGTTTTGTGAAAGACTTGAGTTTTGGGTGCCAAGGACAACATCAGTTTGAATGTCATGGAAATATGCACTGCTGGATGGCTCCAAGCTAACTCTTGGTGCAGGAAGGAGTTAATAACCAGGAAGCTCCCCCAGACCCTACCCTAGTCCCTATCACGTGTGCAAGGAGATCTGGTTGAGGGGTCTGGCCAGTGGTATTAGTGAACTGGAGGCCTTTCCCAGAGGCAGCGGGAGGGACAATGGCTGCCAAGGTCTGGTGTCTCTGAGCTGAGGAGGCTGGCTCCTGCACTTGCATCAAGTTCCCTGCATTGGCCAGGGCCTCTGGATCAAATAGAGGCCAGTGCCATTCTTATATGTTGGCATTGTTCTAAAGAGAAGCCCAGTTGTTGATTTCTCAGCACAGAAGCCAATTTGCACGTGGTTTGGAGTGGAGTGTTAGCCCATCATGGTGAAATGTTCAGACAGCCCAGTAGCCTCAGGTCCTTGCTTTTTTTCCTGCCTTCTTGGCTAGGGAAGTAGCCCCAGTCATCTGTCTGCCTTGCCCGGAAGCTGAGTGTTATGACAGCCCTTGTGGGAGTTGGCATGGCCGACCCAGTGGCCATCGCTTCACCCTATCTGGCCTCATCTGGAATTTTACTTTCAGAATTTGGCCTTATTCTGATGAACTTCATGGACAGGAGTGACCCCAACTCGATCCCTAGCTGGGCCTGGGCAACAAAAAGTGTTGGGATTTTTCCTTTCTTTCCACTCCAGTGAAACGGGCAGAATGAAATGTTTTCCTCTGAGGGTATCAATTGTGGAATGAACTCAGGGTCCAGAAGGACAGGTTTCCTCCATTCCAGCTGCTTTTATCCTCCAGAAAACTGGTCCTTGGTATTTCTTCAGAGTTTGGCTTGGATTTCATAAAACAAAGAAAAAAAATCCTGAAGAAGAAAATGACCCTTGCAAAAGTGCTTGGGTTAGGTGAAGCAGAGGGGGATGGGATGGTAACCCTGGGAGTAGGCACAGCTCTCCTAGAGACCTGTGGGTGTCACAGGCTGTGGCCATGTTCAAGGTCTGGTGTCTCTAAACTGTGCACTGGCACTGTGCAGTGCTTTCTAAGTGATTATGCTTAGGTGATGGTCAGTTTAGAAGGAAGAGGAGGATACAAAGGCATTAAAGGTCAGAGATAAATGAACAGAAATTCTAAATCCAAGACCCTTAGGGACGGGTTTCTCTAATACTTGGGGGCCAAAAATCCACAGGTTCTTGGATTTGCCTGTGTGATGTGTATGTGTGTGAGGGTGGGCATGTGCAGTCCTGGGTGTGAGTTTAGCAGAGTGTATGTGAGAGAGAAGCAGAGAGGAGAGAGCAACATGACTTAGCTCTAAACCCCAGGAAGACTGTGTTGTCACATCTGGGAACAAGGACATCTGGTAAAAAGGACATCTATGTCTAGATGTCTTTACCTCTTGCTTTTTTTAGTTGAATTATTTCACTTTAGGGTTCTGCATCTGCCTTACACATGCTCCATTAAAAATCTGTTTATTCTTTTAACTCTATTAATAAATGATTATTATTTGAGAATTGCAAAGGGATGGATTGAAATATACCAAGAGAAAACTTTGTGTTTGGATGTTTTTGCTATGTCAGCTACATTGGGAAATTATAGCAATGGCTCAAATGCTGAAAGAGTAGTTCTGAGCTAAGTTTACATTGAGAAAGAATGTCTTGGGGGTGGATTAAGAAGACTGTAAAACAACCCTCTCCATGACTGAAAAATAGTACTAGAGAAAAGAATTTAGGTTTTTAAAGGTGTGGGGATGTCTCATGCTTTTATGGCTTTGTGTATGAAACTACTGAGGGGGTGTTGGATTGGGGTTACTTTGTCTTTATGCAGTACATGTAAATAAGAAATCACATTCACTTCTAAGATAGTCTTTGGCGGGGATGATGCTTTATTGCATTTTGCATGTTTTCCCTTCCTTCTGGGTTTCTTCCTATAATATCGAAATATATGTTTTGATATTTTGTAGTTCTTTTAGCAATGATCCATGAATGGTAAGCTTCCTCAGTCTTTATCTGAAATTGTCCCCCCCATCTTCACTCTTGAGTGATGGTTTAGTTGGCTACAGAATTCTGTGTTAGCAATTATTTTTCTTCAGCAATTTAAAGATATTCTATTATCTCCTGGGCCCTATTGTTGCTCTTGAGAAGTCTACTGTCAGTCCTAATGAATAATCACTATTCTGATGTTTTGAAAGATATTCTATGTGTTCTTAGTGTTATGCAGCTTTTTAATGCTCTGTTAAATGTAGATTTTTTTTTTCTTAAAAAAGTCTTGCTTGGACTTGATGAGATACTTTAGTCTAAGAATTCATATTGTTCATCAGTTCTGGAACATTTTCAGTCATTATCTCTTTTTATAATTACATTTATTTTTAACTGTTACATAAAAATATAAAGTTAGGGCTGGGGCTGTAGCTCAGTGGCAGAACACTTGCCTAGCATGTATGAGGCACTGGGTTTGATCTTTAGCACTGCATAAAAAACTAAACAAATAAAATAAAGACATGCTGTTTATCTACAACTATAAAAAAATAAAAAACATAAAATTGTATATTTTAATGGATTAGCATGACATTTCAATATCTATATACCCTGTGCAGTGTTTAAATCACATTCAGTCATATCCTTTCAAATACTACCTCTCCTCCAGTCTCTGTTTTATTTTTCTGGAACTCTATGATTAAAAAAAATATTGATCTTCTTTACTTTACCCTTTCTTTTAAAATGATCTTTCCTGTTATATATTTTATTATTGCTCTTGGTGATAATAAAACACACTCACACACATACACACCACACATGCAAATCCAAGAACCTGTGAATGTTTGGCCCTCAAATATTAGAGAAACTTGTTTCTAAGGGTCTTAGATTTAGAATTTCTGTTCATTTATTTCTGACCTTTATGGCCTTTTTTATCCTCCTCTTCAGGTAATTCTTGTATCTTCCAATTCACTATTTTTCTTCTTGTTTGTATCGAATCTGCTATTTAAACTTTAAACACATTTTTATTTTCAATGATTTTCTAGTCTTAAAAGTTCTATTTTGTTCCTTTTCACATATTTTGTTTTTCTTGTAGTATTTTCCCATTTATGATCTTTATTCCATATTTCAGATTGTTAATTATTTAAAACATATATATTTATGGTGTATTTCAGTTTTATTCCCGATTCTGTCTCTTGGTGAATTATTATCCTGTTGATTGTGGTCACAGACTGTCACTGATGGTGGGCCACTTCCTTCTGTGGCTTGTAAGTTTTGAGTGTGACCCCATCTTTCCTGTGACTTTTTTGCCCTGTGAAGTTCTCAGCACCCTGCCTTGTGGAGGTACTGTTATACTGCTGTTTTGCATCGGCCTCCAGTGGACAATGTTGCTGGTTTTGCTGGTCTGGAAGCAGTTTTTAATGTTTGCTTCTTGACTTGGAGTGCTTATAGCATACTGATGCCTTAATTTATCGGGAGAAAATGTTTTCACATCCAGAATCTCAGTCAGAGACAAGTGGAACATGTATATGGAATGCACTGAATTCATTGTACATCAGAAAACATTTCAATTGTCTGTCGCTGTTGTGTTCACACCCACTCTGATGGACTTCCCTTCCCCATTCTCTGCTGTGATCTCAGGCCTGTCTTAGCTTTCCACTCACATCCAGTTATTAGAACAGTCTCATTTCAATAATTAGGACTCATTTTACAGATATTAAAAAAGTTCAGTCTAGTCTGCTAGAAGCTCTAATTTCATATTCAGTAGACTACTTCAGGCCTTACCCATGACTTTCAGATTTGGACAGGGGAAGAAGGTCAGGGCCTATTTTCTTTCTTCTCCTATATTTTCCCCTCCTCCATTTTAATCAGCTTTTGTGTCACTTTGACCAAAATGCCTGATGAGAACAAATATAAAGGAGGAAAAGTTTATTTTGGCTCATGGTTTCAGAGGTTTCAGCTCATAGGCTGCAGACTCCATTGCTCTGGGCCCAAAGTGAGGCAGGACATGATGACAGAAGGGTAGGACAGAGGAAAGTAGCTCAGGACATGGCAATCAGGAAGCAGAGACCTCTACTTACCAGGAGCAAAATGTAAACCCCAAAGGCATGTCCCTAGTGACCCCTTCTCCTCCAGCCACATCCTACCCGCCTACAGTTACTGTTCAGTTAATCCATATTGGTGGATTAATGAATGCACTGATTAAGTTAAAGCTCTCATAACCCAATCATTTCACCTCTAAATTTTCTTGCATTTTTTAAAACATGAGCTTTGTGGGGGTACCTGGACTACAATGCTTTCCTTTCTTCTGAATTTTCCAGGATTAGGGAAGAGGAGAGGAACCTAGAGACTTCAGGGCTAAAGTCTTTCTCCGTGGTGCTACTTTTGCCTGACATGGCTGGCCACCATGCTATCTGTGATGGTAGGGATTCCATAACTGGTTCTTTCCTAGAGCACCTTTATGGGTTCTTTGATGGAGTTTCTGGGTCTTTCATACTGTTCAGACCCTGTCATGGGTGATGTAGTCCCTGCCAGACCTCGTGAACTTCACAGCCTCTTTCTGCTAAAGCAGCCTTCTTGGGTGGAGCACTTTTATAGTGACTTGAATCCATTTACCTTACAGATCATCAACTCAGCTTGATAGAGGTGACCATATTTAGTTAGAAGTTACAGTTACAGAAGTTACCCCTTGTCACCCATTCTCCTTGTCGGGTCAACACAGCTGCTCCAATTAGCCCCCTGACTGGAGAATTTCCCAGGCAGGAAGCAGGTGCCATTGCTTGGTTTGTTTGTACCCTCTAGACTTGGCCAGACAGGTCAGGACTTTCCCAAGAAGATGGTTCTTCTCTGGGACATTGAGGGTGTGTTCATCACTGCCACTTAGTAGGCATCAGACAGGAGGTGAGAGGCTGGTCTTTTTTTACTATAGGCCTTCCTCCCTCCCCCTAAAGATGCTCCTCTTGGGATCAACCTTCCATGACTTGGGAGAATGAGGGAAGCACTGTCTCCCTGAGCCCACACAGGATTCCTGTGTTTCTAGTGGGTGGGGTGGTTGAGGGAGGTTCAAGGACCATCTTGGCTCATCCAGTCCTGCAGCAAAGTACCTATCCAGTGCCTCTGTTGTCTGAGGGGTATGCCATTGATTGTTCTCGGGTTTGGGGCCTCACCTGGAATTCTGACCAACAGGAACATTCTCAATTAACATTTTTTTTAACCTAAATTTCCTTCTCTCTTCCTTAGTAGGTGGGCAGAGGTTTTAAACCCTTTTTACTGGGGCCTAGCAGTTGTTTTAGGTTCTTGGTTTTATGCCAGAGTCTCAGGTCTAGCTTCTGCTTTGTGGTGTCTCATGATGATGTCTCTGACCCTTTGTACATCTTTCAGCCTAGTCCTGGCCCTTGGGCCCATGGCTAGCTCCTCATCCAACTTTATCACCTGATGCTTAAAGTTTATATTTTCTTTTCCTTTCTGGGACTGAGAATTCCCTCTGCTTTTTATTTAGCTCATATAGTGCAGCATTGTTATTCATTAAAAGAATGAATTTTCCTAAGTATGGCCTGCCATATTGTCAGAACCAGGAAATTTGCCTCTTTGTTTTATAGACCACTATTAACACTTCTGCTTCCATCACAAGAGGGTTGCAAAGACAAGTGAGATAATGGATGTGGACATGCTTTGAAAGCATTGATACATTTATAAGGAAGGGAGTATGATGAATATACCACTACTTGGTTTGTTAATTATTCTCACTTGAACTGGACATTTGGTAGAACTATATTTATAGGAGGAAATTCTCAGAAACCAATGGGCCAAGAGGACCTTTTATAGCTTACCTCCTTAACTACTGCCTTCCCTTCATGGCACCAGGTGAGTTCTAGACTGTCTGATAGAACTTACTCATTTACGTAAATTTTAAATCTTCAGAGTGTTCATCCATTGTTAATTTTAAAAAATATCATTTGGTGTAAAAGACATACATTAGGTTTACATTATAATATACATTTGATAGATCCAGAGTGTTAACTTTCTGTTACTGTAACAAATACCTAAGACAATCAACTTACAAAGAGAAAAAATAAAACTATTTTGGGTCACAGTGTCCCCTTCCAGGGCATATCCCTAATGACCTAAGACCTCTCACTGGGCCCCACCTCTTAAAGTTTCCACCCTCTTTCCCACTTTGGGAACCAAGCCTTCAACACATCTGAACGTTCCAGATCCAAACTGGACACTTAAGCCTTTATTAAGTAAATTAAGTATATCAGACATATACCAGGTATGTCAGGCTGACTTATTCTGCTGTCTTCACTTAGGGAACCCCAGATAGACAGACTATCAGTCATCAGTCAGTCAATCAATCCAATCAATCAATGTTAAATGAGTGCTTACTGTGAGTCTGACACTGTAATAGCCCCTTGGCAGAGGGCATAAACAAGCATAACTAGTTTTGACAGCCATGTATTAAGTGCCTACCAGTTACCAGACAGACACAGTGATGAATTAAACAGATGGGCATCTGCCACCCTAAAGTGTACAGTGGAGCCCCTGGCTGAAACTGCATTAGACTTTCTCAGTGGTATCAATTATTACTGCCATACTTATTTGGGAAGTGAGAAAGTCCTCCAGATTCACAAAACCTTGCTGGATTTGGAGTTCACTCCAAGCACCAAATATATATATATGTAAAACATCTCCCTAGGCCAGCAGTTCAACAGCTTTGGGAATGGGGGGCAGCCGTCAAACACTGTATGAAAGATGATTTCTTATGAGGTCGAGTTGCAATCTCTGTGCCATTGTGGTTCACCTTTGTTTGTAACTTTCCCATTCTGTGCCTTTCCTATTTCTGTGGAAAGGGCTCTTCCCTTTTCTCTCTCCTTTCCCCTGTCAAACATGTCCACAGAAAAAAGTCCCCTGTGATTCTGTTCTTGCTCATCCTGACAATCCTTGGCGTGCCTTGGATGAGCACTGCTCTCCCTGGAGGCCAACTTGATCAAAGGAGAGTTCAGGGTGGGAGGAGAAGGGTCCTTTAAAGGGTGCAGTTAAGAGCTTCTCCAGGAGGGGCGGAGCCTTCCAAGGGAGGCTGGAATCATATTTACATTTTTGTATAAATTTAAGTCATTTTACCTTCTTTCTGAGGTATTTGCACGTTCAGCCTTTTCTCAAATAGTGAAATGAAAGATTTTGTATCTTCTCCAGGAATTTCAGGGATCAGCAAATAAGTTCAGGAAGAATTAGAAAGACTAGTGATCAGTCCATGGATGATTTTACTGAGCCTGTGGTTCCAAATTAAATTAGGCTAAGGATACATCTAATATGACAAATAGATTTCAGATTCTGGGGGGATTCAAGACTGGTTGTGGATGCCTGGAACAGGGTTCAGAACTGTTGTTTACATTCAGGGGAAAGTGTTCAGTGATTGATTACTGATGTCTGCCACAGACAGGATGGAGGTAAGGAAAGGCGATTGGCATACCTACTATTTTGGCCATTCCTCATAGTTAGAGAGATTCTTAAGCTGTATTTTACACAACTGGTTGGTTCAATCAGGTCTCTCAAACAAAGAGGCAAGTCAATGAAAAAGTAAAATTCAGTTGAAATATGTTTGGTACAAGTTGTAAAAAACCTATCCATTTAAAAAATTATCTATTTCATCTTTTATTCAACTAGGTGGGTGAATCATAGAGGTATTTTTACAGGCGAATTAAATCTAAGAGCTTTTAATTTCTGGTCTAACTTTCCTGAAGGAGTCACTAGATAGTATTTTATCATTTTATTGCATTTTCTTTCTCAGTATTTTTCAAAACATCTCACACATATTGCCTCATTTTATTCTCACTTGATCCCTGTGACAGATTTGTTTCTAGTGTAGGTGGGGAAACTGATGCTCAGAGATGATCTGACTCGCGAGAGGTAGCACAGCAAGTCACAGCTGCTGTCCTTTGCACCATGAACTCTCTGTGACTCCTCTGGGGTCTCCTTGAAGGAGTAGAAATTTCCATGCAGTTGGTGATTGTTGATGTACTCTCTCAGGGCAAGAGACTGTATGTTGGTGCAGTGACTCAAAATAGCTGTCTATTCCCTGCTTAAGGCTTTGTCCTTTCAGTGGCAATCCAATGAATTAGACCCCACTGCTTCGATAAAATACTTTGGAGTTTATAGGATGGAAAATTTTGTTGGGAATGAAAATAGCCCGTAGCCATTCATACCCTAAAGTTGTCAGCTAATGGCGTCTGAGTCACCTCCTCCTCATCTTCTGGCACCCGTAGGGGGCCTCCCTGTGGTCCACCTAGAGTGGTCCGAGCTTGGCCATATTTGGCTTTCTAGAGCGCGTTTGCTTTGGAAGTGCCTTTCAACCTGCCAACACCCAAGCCGGGACCCAGAGCAAGCCATGCATTTAAATGGCCAGGCTGTGGAGAGAGCTCAAGTGGAGACGGCCAAGGGATGTGGGGCCATTTACTTAACATAAATCAGCTCTCGGCATGCGAGTGCCTTAATGCATTCCTTCAATTATAAACAATTTAGAGTTATGACAGCCAGCATCTTCTCACCCCCTCTCTCTCTAGCCCAGGCCTCCATTTGGATTTGTTTCTATAATCAGGGACTTTGATGATTGAAAGGATGGTGAGGAGACCATCGGATGAAGAATCAGATCTTGTTTATGGAGCCCTTACTCCTGGAGCAGGACCTGCTCCACAGGTACAGTCAGAGCATGAGCCCTGCTTGTTCCTCCTGGGGGGCGTTTGGCCCAGAGTATCACATCACTATCTCATCTAATCCTCACTTCTCATTTATGAAGGGGAGACGATGTAATAGATTATGTAACAGATTATAATGCTATTATCCCCATTTTCCATAAAAAAAAAAATCAAGGTCCCAAGAGTTTAAGTAATTTGCCTAAGGTCACTCAGCCAATAGACAGCAGAGCTGGGATTTGAACCAAGACACCCTCTTCTCTGAGCCCTTGCTCACCAAAAGCCCTGTCATAATTATGTCGTTTCTCTTCTAATGTGGGTAGTTTCTTGCTGGGCTGTTGACATTCTCCTCAGTTGCTTAAATAGCAGCCCGTATACTGGCAGAACAAGCCTGTGGACACTGTGCAGACTGTCCCCCAGCCACGGGAAACTTAGGGTTAGGAATGTGGGTTGTCATGGAAGTTAGTGTCATTGTGATGGACTTGTCCTTGTCCCAACCCCAGATTTAGAGCAGTGAAAGTTGGGGTCCCCGAGTCTTGGTTCTTGCTTTGGCCCCAGGTCCCGCCTGGGAGTGAGTGTGCCAGGGTTTGGGCTTGGGCTTCTGCTTGCACCATGGAGCACCAACAGCCAAGGGAATCCATTTTGGTATAAACAGAGGTAGGTATATTTAGAAATAATCTCTAGAGACTGTCATATGTGTTTATCTGCATGCTCAGAGATAAAAGTCAGGGAGGTGGGTCAGGAAGAAAATGCTTGCGTTGACATCCAGTTGACACATGGCTCTTTCCCAGGGACACAGGGCAGCCTGATACACAGGGTCTATTTTAGGGTCTTTCTTTATCAGTTTGGAATTGTCACTGTCTGCACTGCAGTAAAAGACTAGCCTGGATCTGCCTCTGCTGACTTGGAAAAAAAAAAAAAAAGATCATCGCACTGGCTCCCCTGGGAGTCGCAGTCTTTCCCCAACACGCTCACATGTTGTAGGGCTCTTTATTTTCTTTCCCCAACCCACCCGCAGATGTAACCTTCTGATTCACTGTCTAATTTAGGGCAGAAACTTGCAGAGCAATGTCAAGAGGGTCTGTTTTCACTTCTGGATGTTACACATGCTTAATGTTCTTGCTTTGAATGCATTCCAAGAGGATACAATAAATAAAGGGGCATGCACATTTCCATTGCTGTGGCTGCATGGCTCGTGTGGACTCTGTTGCTCAGGGGACAAACCACATTTCTTTTTCTCCCTTCCCATTTCCTTCTTCCTCCCCTTCTCCCCCTCCCAGCCTCTCCAGTCTCTCCTTCCTTTTTGCCTCCCTTTCTCCCTCCCAACCTTCTCTCCCCCTCCCTCCCTTACTTCCATCCGCTCCTTCTTCCTTCCTTCTCTTGTTAAACTAAATAGATTTCTCATTCATTAGACAAACCAGTTTTCCAAGGGATGGGAGAGGGCACTCTACACCGTGTATTTTGCACTCATACAGTTATTTGCCTCTGGCTTTTCTTCCAAGTTGATTCTCAGGTATCCTAGACTCTTGAACTGGGACCATTGCTGTTTTCTTCAGGATGACCCAATGACTCTTATTTGATGGAATGGGACTTCTTAAGTGGCTTACCCTGTTTGGAAGGCCTTGGATACCTCCTGCTTTTTGTATACATAAAGCTGTGTTTGAAGGACCTTGAGTTCTGCTCCACAGGACTTTGCACTGCAAGGGAAATTGAGAAGGGCCTCATGGGCCAAGTACCCATAGAATCTAGGAGAGGGTCAGAATCACTGGCTGGGACAAGACAAACTGTCATAATCTGAAACAGATGCTCAGCTGGGTTTATGTGTTATGAATAACTGGCTGTAACTTAATGCTTAGCAGTGAGGTTGACCAATATTCAGTACAAGATGTTGCCCACTTGAAGGAAGAATGGACATTTGATTTAGGATGTGCATCTTTTATGATCAGTTGGGAAATTTAATTTAGGAGCAATGAATAGCTGTGTGAGTTTGCGTGTGTCGGGTTGGTGAGAATTTTAAGCATTGCCTTTAGATTTGAATATCAGTTAACCTTCTAGGCAGATGTTTCACATTGGAGAACCTCATGTATAAAAATGATACGGGCATTCAGATTTTGCAGTCCCTTGTAGCACTTTAAAAAAATTTTTTCCTCTCCTATCTTTTTTAAGGGAAAGGAGAGACTTTAATGTATGCATAGTTAGTCCAAGGAACATAATATTTTATACTGCAGTTTTTAATTTTTATTAACTTTTTAAGAGGAAAGGGAGTGTTTTGGTTAGACTGGGCTGAGTTGGGATTTGGAAATAAAAATAGCCTCACTTCACTGTATATGGTGTATGCCAGGCCTTAAATTAGGAATTTCATATGAGTGTTATGAAATTCTCGTAAGAGTGCTGTGTATAGAGGTGAGTGTTTTAAGTGAATAGAGAATATGTGAAAAATAGCTAATACCATGGTGGCCCCTAGAAGTTTGAATCTGGATATCATCGTATAGGTTTTGGGGTTTGGGAATGGGGAAAGGTTATAATAGCCTCAGGCCTCTGAGAATGTGGGGAGCTGGAATGGAGCCCTTGCACAAAGCCCAGAACCTCAAGAGTTTCCTGTTTATGAAAGGGAGATGGGAAAACCATTTATTCCTCTGGAGTAAACATCAAGGAAGCTTACTGTCTCAATTGGGCTTACAGAATCACTTACAAGAAAGAAATACTAGGCCCCAGCACTCACAGGCGTGGAGTGTGAATTTATGGCCATGTGCTGCATAGCATTTGGTCAAGGGTGAACCACATATAATGGGGTCCCTCCAGATTATATGGCCTAATGATATTGTAGCCTCAGTCTGTGTAGGTACACTATGATGTTTGCACAGGATGAAATCACTTTCTGATAGCATTCTCAGAACATATTCCCATCGTCAAGTGAAATATGACTGGACTTACACATTACAGGAAATTCAGGATAAAAGCTAACATGACAAATAAGTCTAGGATACTGATGGATCAATAATGAAAATCTGGTGTAGACATACTTCTATAGGCTAAATTATGTCCCCTCAAATTTATATATTAAAGTCCTAATTCTCAATGCAATGGTATTTTGAGATGGGGACCTTTGGGAATATTAGGTTTCCATAAGGGTCATGAGGGTGAAGCCCTGAGGCTGAGATTAGTGCCGTTATAAGAAGAGATGCCAGAGAGATTGCTCTAACTCTTTCTCCTTGCCATGTGACAAAGTAGTGAGAAGATGGTTGTCTACAAGCCAGAAGGAGAGCTATTACCAGAAACCAACCATGCAGGTATCCTGACCTTGGACTTCCATCTCCAGAATTGTGAGAAAATACATTTCTTCTTCTTAAGCCACCCAGACTATGGTGTTTCGTTATGACAGAGACACATACACTGGCATATTATTCAGCCTTTAAAACGAAGAAAAATGAACCTTGATAACCTTATGCTAAGTGAGGACAAGAAAATAAATATACTATGATTCCACTTGTATTAGGTATCTAATGTAGTCAAACTCTTATAAAGTAGAATAGAGTCTCTAGGGGCTGGGAAGAGGGATAAAGGGCAATAGATCTGTTCATGACAATGTGTGTGTAGTTTACACTAGTTTACTGTTCATTTTGAAATGGTTAAGATGGCTGTCTTGGTTACTTTGGCTTCTATAATAAATTATAGCTTGGGTGGCTTAAAAACAAATACTTCACACTTGGGGGTTAGGATTTTGACATGATTTTTTTGGGGGAATAAACATTTTGTTTATAGAATGGCAATTTTTTTCCAAACAAAACAAAACAAAACAACAACAACAATAACAAAAACACACAAAAAAACTAGATCTAGGATAACTTATACCCATAGGGCCTTTCAAAAGTGAGCACAAAAAACTGACTCATGCCTCTATAACTCAAGGGCCTTCAGCCTTTCATAAAATAAGCAATCCTGGCTGCAAATGAGATAACAATTAAAAAAAACATCAAAATAAATAACGCACGAGGAAGACTCAGCAAGTACAACAAGCAGAATTACTATACCAAAAACTCAAGTAACAGCACAAATTGAAGACGGTCTAAAAATAAACTTGTTTAAAATAATTAATGAGATAGAAAAAGAAATATAGAACATAATAAAATACTAGCATTATATAAAAAAAGAAGATTGGAAAGATTGTACTTCTAGAACTCAAAAACACATTGAAATGAATAATTTTATGTCTGGGTTAAACATCAGGTTAAATATAGCATAAGATAAAATCAGCAGGTTGGAAGGTAGAGCTAAAGAAATAGCCCAGAATGCAGCATGGAGATACAAAATACTGCATAATGAAAGAACAGTTGAAAGAACTGGAGGAAAGAATGAAAAGATTCATTATATGTTTTAATAGAGTTTGTGGAGACAGTGAAGAGAATGATGAGAAGGCATTACTCTAAAAGATAATGCCAAGAATATTTCAAAATTTAAGAAAGATATTGATTTTTACATGGTAATAGCACACTGAGTATTGAATAAGGTAATTAAAACCACATCCACCTCTAGATACTCAATGTAGAAAACTACTTAAATGTCAAAAAAATGAGAAAATCTTAAAAGCAAGCAGGGAGGAAAGACAGATTATCTCTCTACAAACAGCAGACTCCATCAACCACAGTAGAGGTCAGAAGATAGTGAAATAACATCTTCCAAGTGCTCAGTGAATATCAAACTCAAATTCCATATAAAGCTAGATTATCATTTAAGAGTTAGGATGAAGAGACATTTTTCATATAAATGAAGACTGGTAGTATATACCTCTCTACTGATGCTCTCTGAAAGAGCCACAAGGGACATGTTTTATAAAGAAGCGTTAATTATCTTTTAAAGAAGACTAAGATGTGGGATGATTCAAAATTAAGGTGCTTTTCAACATGAAGCAACAATAAGGTAGAGGGCCAGGGACAGATGGGTTGGGGCAAAGTTCAGAATTTAATGTATTATGAAATTTTGCTATTTTTCAGAGGGCTAATGAGT